TGATTTTGATTATTATCTATAATATAATCAGTAGGTTTGTAAAAGGGTTTATAGTTTCTGACAGTGAACAATGAACTAGTTGTGAGGCGTAGGATGATATGCTGAGGAGGCAGGATGTGAGGATGTAGAGTTAATATATCTTAGGAAGTGTGAAAGAGAAATGTAATGAAGAGGGTTAGTAGCAAGAGAATAGACAGGAAGTAATTTGGGATAGACAAGTACATGGGAAGACAGTAGAGTGCATAAGACAAACACATATGTAGTAAGAAAAATAAAGATGTTGAAATAGTAAAAATTAGAGGAGAAAAGATGAATTAAAGAAAAAAATTAAAAGGGGCATATACAACACACCTATAATATATTATTCATATGTCCCAGTCCTCAAAATTCTAATTCATACAAAGTTCTTGGTTTCACATATATTAGGGATGTGAGGGCAGGAAGATGGAAAAGGATTAGAAAAAGAGAAAATAAAAAACAACAAACAAACAAACAAACAAAAATTCTCAAAAGAAGAAACCAGAATTGTTAATAGCTTTAGCGTTCAGTATCTTTCCTGCTTCCCTTCTCATCCAATAGTTGGGGTTGTCTGTTGTTAGCTGATATCTCTGCCCTCAGGATGGTGAAGGTAACCAGGGTGGGAAGGCTTGTCCTAGTGCAGGGTGCCTGGAAGCAAGGTATGGCACCAGCCAGTCCCTGCTGGTACACTGCACCTCAGTGATCTCTTTTTGGATCTTCTCTCCCTATCTTGCCTAAAGATATCCCAGTTCCTGGTCTCACTGTTAGTCTTCCAACTTTTGCCTTGTTTCCCTAACCCGTAGCAGTTCCTAATTAGGGACTTCTTTCATTGGGGCTCCCATGGGTGGTACCCTGATCACACTGCATTCCTGTCCCACTGAGTGCTGTTTTGTGTTGGGAAGTTACTGTGCTGGATTACTGCTACTGGGAAGAGAGGGGAGTTGAAAACCAGGTACCTGACCATCTGAAGTTCCAATCTGGGACCTGCCGCCACAAAATATGGCGAGGAAGACGAGCTAAGATGGAGGCAGTCTTCTTCCAGCACAAGGGTTTCAAGTGGGCAAGTGAGGTGCGGGGAAGCTTGGCAGTGGCATTGTGTGGTGTGTTCAGAGATGAGCTCTGTGACATTCAGTACCATAGTACTTTGGCTACTTCCAGAGTCTGTGAAATGCCCCCAGGTACAGGTAGGTTCCTGTGTAGGGAACTATGGCCACAGCTGCTGAGTTGAGTGGCAAGATGGAGGCAACCAGGGGATCTCCTCATTGGTAGATGGGGTCAACAGGGGAGTGGAGGCTGGAGTTCCTGTGGGTAGGTAGCAGCTGAGTGTCCTGTGTGGGAGTGGAGAGGCTCTGGGAGTTCCGCCACAGTGCTGACAGGTGATACTGCTAAGGCACTTAGGAGCCCTGTGTGGGCTAGAACCTCAGGAGTTGGGTGTTAGGAGTCTGGAGTCCTGCTTAAATGCTGAGGCCCGGAGCCCTGAGGAGACACAGCACCAGTGATTTCCTGGAGAGCAGCTGTATAGGGGTTCTCTATCACACTCAGACAAGCAGTATTCCCACTAGTTGAGATCCACATCACAGAGCAACACAGAATGCTGCCTCCCTCTGGCTGGCCATCTTGGATCCTCTGAATTTTACTTTTAATAACGGCTTTATTGTGACTTAATCCACACACATAAAATTAAGTTCATTAGCATATGCAGTTCAGTGGTTTATCGTATATTAGAAAAATCATGTCACCATCTCGACTATCAAAGTTTAGAATATATTAGCCTTCTTCACACCTATTGTAGCACAGCAACCACCCGCCAAGACGCTGAAGCTCAATAAGAAGTTTCAGCTCATTGCAGGAGCCAAAACTGGCTACAAGGGGCAAGGTCTGACCTCCCCACTGAAGTGCAGGTTCTAAAGACTGCCAGTTCTTTGCAATCTTCCAGGAAGGATCTGAATAAGAATGAGTTTATTTGAGAAAATGAGATAAGAAAGATAAGTGTACAGTATGGTACTGCTGAGCAGCTGGGACCATCTCAGGAGTGGACAGCATGTTTTTCAAAGAGCATGGTGTTTTTAGGGAATTGAAACTAGGTGAAGTTGGCAACCCCCACCCCTTCTGATATCCGGAAATTACAGATGTAGGCCCCAGAGAGTCTTGCTTCTTTTTGATGTGATAAGGAAGGCTCCAGGGACTAGGAAGGAGCCCAAATCTGTGAAATTCTGCCCTTTTTTTTGAGTCCTGGAATCTTTGGTCAGTATAAAGGTCATAAAAGTTCCCCCTTCAGGGTAACTTGTGGTCTTGTTATCCATAGGGAGTAGTCTTTGGGCCTGCATTTTTCCTGTGAATAATAGGTTGTTTCCTGAGAATGTAGCATATCCTCTTTGCTTAAGCTAGGACAGGTAATTTCTTTTTAAAAGAAAGCCCGTGGGGATCAGCAGAGTAGGCCCAGTCTATAGGATTGTCCCCTTAACCTCTTGTTCCCTTTACATATAATTTATTAGCAGTTATTTTCATGTGCCTATCTCCTCAGTCCTTAATTATGGATAATCTATTTTTTATATTATGCATGTGTCCATTCTGAACATTGCATAAATGGGCTGATACAACTGTGTCTGGCATTTTTCCATGTATCATAATATTTTCAAGATTTATCTGTGTAGTAATATAAATCAATACTTTACTATTTTTTGTTATCAAATAATATTTCACTGTGTAGCTATAACACATTTTGTTTATTCATTATCTATTGGTAAATGTTTGTTAAAACATTGGTAAAACATTTGGATATACGTTATGTGTGGATGATTATTATTCTTTTTTGGCATATACTTTGGAGTGAAATTTCTAGTTATTAATACTTATGTAACTTTAGGAAAAAACTGCCAAATTTTACCTGAAGTAGGTAGATCACTTAATGTTTCATCAGCAATGTTTGAAGTTTCTAAATTTTCTATCTACTCTCTCAGGAGGTGTTATTTATGTTTTTATTTTAGCTGTCCTAGTGAGTATGAAGTAAGATTTAATTGTATTTATTTATATTTCCTTCTTGACCAATGATGTTAAACATCTTTTTATATGCCTATTGTCCATTTGTGAAAAATGTTTATTTGAATCATTTACCCACTGTTTTAACTAACTTTTTGTTTTTCTTTCTGAATTGCAATAGTTTTTATATATATATATAAAATATATATATATATATATATATATATATATATATATATATATATATTCTGACTAGAGGACCCTTACCAGATAAATAATTTGCAAATATTTTCTCTCATTCTGTCAGTTTTTTTTTTTTTTCATTTTCTTGATACTATCCTTTGGGAAAATGGTTTTCATTTTCATAAAATCTGATATACTTGTTTATTTATTTAGTTTGTTGTGTGTGTCTACTAAAATGCTAAAATCTTTGCTTATCTGTCTTAGTTTTGAGCTAAGGTTAGAACAAATATTTTAATTAAATTTCTTGAATTGGTATATTCCCTTAGGCTTTGAGGTATTTTGTTGCTTTTGTTGGTTTATGTCCTATTTCCCACATCAAATATTCCTACAGGCAGTTTACAACTCTGCCTTAGCCTTCACTCTGCTTGTTTAGAGATTCAAAATTAACCAGAGAGGAGAGATTTAGTAGGTTGTATGTTTTCTGGGCATGAGTACATTCCTGCACATATGACCTTCTACATTCCCAGGAATATGTGTGGAGTTTTACAAATCACTCTATGTATATCCCATTCCCCAGTTTTTCTTTCAAGTTTTTTGGCTAGCCTACTTTAATTCTTAACTAAATCTCTATCCCAGGAAATTGTACAGCTAAACAACCTCTGTTGTTTCCTTTCAATAGGACTGCTTACACAAAGTGAGTTGTAAATCTTGCTCAAATAAAAATAAGTCATGTAATTGTATGTATTCAAGGAGCTTCCAGTTGAACCCAATAGCTGTTAGTTAAAGACTACTGTAGAGCTGTGAAGAGAGAGGGGAAGTCAAGTTAAAATACACAAATATTGCCACTCTTATTAATAGTCAATCACTTGTTTTTATAAATAATCTGCAAATTATTGAGAGCATTTTTCTTTTCAGAATTCTGGAAAAAAAATGAATTAGACATCCCCCCCCCAGTGTATCCATTGCCTTTATAAAAAAAGAGAAAAAGAGATTTTCCAAATTTTATTCTGTTGTTCTGAGGTACTTCCTGAATTTTATATTAATAAACAGTGTAAATTTTCTTTCCTTTATCTTTTCCAAAGTTTTTATGGATTTGTTTCAACTGAGTTTGAAAAGTGTGGCTATTTTATTCAAATGCCTTGCTCATTTCTAAGCTTCAAAATATAAATCAGGGCTAAGGGTATACTTCAGTGATACAATGCAAGACTGTGTGAGGCCTTGAATTCAGTCCCGTGTGTGTGTTTGTGTGTGTGTGTGTTCATATATATATGAAAAGAAAGAAAGAAAAGGAAAGAAATCCCCATTCAATGATATGGCTATATGTTTCTTTCTTTTCCCTCTTCTTCCTCCTCCTCCTCCTCCTCTTCCTCCTCCTCCTCTTCTTCTTCTTCTTTTTCAGAGATCACACTGTTTTAATAACTATTTTTAACACACTTTGGACAGTATGAAAATTAGTGAGTCATTAAAAGTGTGAAAAAATGTAATTAACTCTTTTGGCTATAAATAAGATAGAAACATGTTATAACTTTATTAATGTAAAAAAGTAAATTAGAACAAATATTTGGGAGCTAAGTTATTTTATGAACTCTTATACCTAAAATAAATATGGAAAAGCTATATTTACGAGTGAGATAACACTTTTTATACAAAATATACCTTATGCAACTGTTAAACCAAAGTCCTCCACATTCATAATAACAATTTTGATAATTTTAAAATAATATTTTAGTCTATCTACTTTGCTTAATACTACACCTTTCAAGAATGTGAAGTTGTTAAAATAAAAACATCTTATTTTATATTATATTTTTTTTCTATAGGACTTTGGAGATGATGGGTCCTTGTATATTACTAAGGTTACCACAACTCACATGGGCAATTATACCTGCTACGCTGATGGCTATGAACATGTCTATCAGACTCACATTTTCCAAGTGAATGGTAAGAGAAGTGTGTGCTGCTGTAATCATTTTTTAGCTTCATTTAATATTCAAAGATCATCATGTAACTGAAAGCTCGGTCCCTGTCCTCAATGTCAATCAGTGCCAATTTAATAATGAGGACATGGTTTTGAGAAAAAGAAAAAGGAAGGTTTATTGCTTACCAGGGACTCCTGTCCCAAAGTCTGTGACTCTTCTGATCAGGAGGGACAGGGGTCTTTTAAAGGAACTTAAAGGGTTATATTCCAGGTGTGCTCTGGCAGGGAGTCCCAGGGTACCCTGATGGCATGTTAGGATTCACTTGTTAATTTGGGAGATATTCATTTCCTTGATCCTCAGCAGCCATCTCCTCCCTACAGTGGGTGTGTTCAAGGGCAATTAATTGGGAGAACAAAAGATAACACTGTCTCCCCAATCTTGTTAGGGAGTGGGAGGGGGAGAAGAAAGAAAAAAAAAACATTTTTAAAAAAACAAGCCTTAGAGAAATGAGGGATGCATTCAGGAGGTGAGGTTACCACTGTTAAAACTACAGTTGACTAGGCATGTAAGGCTTCAATTTTTAAAACTTTGCCAATTTGCTAATTTTTGTTTTGAGACTTAGCATTAATGTAAAATCTTTTTAAATTAAAAAAATTCACAAATCAATAAATACTATCAATTCTTATTTTGTCACCATAAAATGTTATAAAGTAACTCAATTTAACTGGAAAACAAAAGCATTGAAATTTTAAATTACTTTTTCAGGTTAATATATCAATAGTCAGATGAATATACATTTAAGATATTGAAAAAGCCTGTTTTAATTCAAACTTGAGTATAGTGTTGCATGCATTTTATTAATAAACACTTTTTCATTTTATAATTTATCATTACATAATGTTAATATGTTATGTGATGTATAAAATGGATATAGAATTTTTGTCATCTTTTTTGTAAGAACAGGAAGATGGCTGGTGTGATTGAAATGAATTGAGAAGGTAACCTGGAGTCAGATTACATGTAACCCTGTAGACCTAGCTACACATTTGAATTTCCATCCTAAGAGTAAATGTATCAAGTGGAACGTTCTGTCTTGTTTTAAAATAAATGAATAAATTAAAAAGAGCTATTTTAGTCATCTGACAAGAAATGCAGGAGGTTTATAATATACAGTTAATGATGGAGTTATATGGAAATGATGAAATTTAGAATGTATTTTGAAAGTAGACCTGACACCATCACTGAGTGATAGCATTTGAGAGGGAGAAAAAGAGAGTTAAAGAATTAGCCCAAGGAAATTTGAAAGAAGCATTAAGTTAAATGACTGGCTGTCATATTTACTGAAATGAAGAAGAAACTTATTTAGGGCCTGGTGAGATTAATTTTCAGCATGTTAATTTAAATGAAATTATTGATGGAAAAGTCAAGTATTCAATTGAGGAGAGTGACAGCCCAAAGTTGTATATTTAGATAATATCACTGATCACTGTGTATAAATTGTATGTGAAGCCAAGTATCTGAGCTTGATTAGATCACCTTAGAATGACTGTAAATGGATGTGAGGTCAGAGAAAGGAGCTGTGGATATGAGAGTCAAAGTAGAGAAAAGAAGTCTTAGAATGAGTATCCTGTAATGGAAAATTTATGTCCCCAAAATTAATTAAGACAATTGTGAAAAACTTGAAAATATTGGGAGTCTGGTCTGACAATTGTTGACATTCAACAGACCAGATGCAGGTCTAGGGTTTGTTTTTAGGTGCAAACACAGTTGGTAACTAGATATGGTTCAAAGCTTTTAATCTAATTTCCAATGAAACCATTGAAGAAAGCAGCAAAGATGAAAAGGACTTACTGCATACAATTGACCACAGATATTTGGTGTTAGACATTCATACATAGCAATCGTACCTGCTCAGTTTATTGGGGATGTTTCCTGTGTACATACTACATCCATGGGGAAATTATTAATGCATGACTGGCCTCTGTTTTCCTTTTTGTGCTATTGTTTATTGACTTCTTGCCTATTTGACAAATTCAGTGGCTTGAATTTTTTATAACTGTATTTAATTTATTTATTTATTAATTTATTAATGTGGTGCAGAGGATAGAACCCAGTGCCTCACACATACAAGGCAAGCATTCTACCCCTGAGCTTCAGCCCCAGCCAGCCCCTTTTTATTTTTATTTTTTAATTCAAGGAGAAATTCTTAAAATTTTTGCTAACATGAAATTCATTTATCTCTTAATTTCATTTCCAGTGGTAGTTCTTTCAGTCTAAGTACTTGGTAGTTTTTCTTAGAAGTACGTAGTTCATGTTCCACCTGCATGAGATTCATCTAAGAAAATTATCAAAAATTCAAGACCTATGTTTCACCAGAGCTATCTGAAGTTTCATTTGAAATCTGCATTTTAACAAGTTTCCCAGGCAATTGTCATGCATGGAGAGTATGAAAATCATTCTAAGTGGTTGCTCTTCGGGAGTTTTTGCTCCTCATTCATGTCTGATGCAGATTACTTCCATAACTCACTTATATGCCAGCTCTACCTGGGAAACTCAGGAAAGAGACTTTCTGCCAAATTTCAGGCTTTTATGTTTCAAAATGTATGCTGAGAAGCATTGGGGAAATAGAGCTTCTTATTCCACCCCTCCTGTGAATGAACTGTTTACTCTCTGATGTCATGTTTTTCTGAAGATGGAATTCAGGAATGAGATCTCAGACATGGTGCCCCCCTCCATTAGCCTCAGATATATGAATTAATTAGGAGGAATTTAGTATTAGCAGTGATGGTCGGTGTGCAAACTCTAATGATACCCCTTTCCTAGGAACCAATCTCTAAACCAGTATCTTACAAGGAAAAACAGCTGTCTCTTTGTGTTACATTCTACTGCATTTAAACTACTCTGAATTCCTTAGTATCAGGTATTACACAAATAGATGGGGTTTGGAGATATGAACAATGACATTGCTAAGAGGGTAAGCAAGATGAGGAATATAATTTAATATAATAAAATATAATTAAAGTATTAAATTTGAGAAATTGTAATTACTAGCTTTTGTAAAACAACTTTTTGTCACATATTGTGGATAAGATTTTAGAATAAATTCAAGAGAATTTACTTCCATTTTGAGAATGGAAGGTAAAAAAAATAAAGAACATTATATTGACAACTGCAAAGGAGAATGAATGTTGGCTAAAATAGAACAGATAACTGCAAAAGCTGGAGAGTGTGTGGGATCAAGGGTGGGAATTTTATAAAAATTAGAATCTTTTAATGCTGCTGTGAATACTCCAGTACAGATGAAAAGGGATAATTACAGCAATAAATCACTTACATTAAAAAGTGGACATGATCTAATACACAAATGGAGGGACTGGTCTTTGGAAGATGAATCATCTATAGAAACAGGGAGAAAGACTATTTCCAAAGAGATTTGTCGTGTGGAAGCATGAGGAAATCCTCTTTTCATTGCTTGGATTTTTTTTCCTAGTAACATGAGGAATAACAATAGATCAAAATGAAGAGGTTGTAAGAATGAAATGGTTTGAGGAGAGGAAGTAATGCAAAACCATTATCTTGCAGAGGAGGAGGGTAATGGAAATAGCAATGTGTCACTGGTACATTGGACATAGCTTGGATGTAATACGAGGTGGTACACATTAGTTTGTTTTCCTTCTATTACACTTGACTGTGAAGTTCAGTCAGAGGAAAAAGGGTTAATGAACATTTTTGTTTGTTAGGTTAATAATTAGGAGAGAGACAGGGGTAAGGTAAGCAGGTAACAAGGCGATGATTACACTGGTAGACATAGAATTAGTGGCAGGTAAGGACATATGAGGCCATGAGGAATGTGATTTGAAGTGAACAATTAACTAGAATTCACAAATTGATCAAATATTACTAGAATTAGGTATTAGAAAAATATGCAATACCTTCATTCAAATAATTTTCTCAAGGTATCTGGCAATTTCTGTTCATAACAAATGCTCTAGTCTACATAGAGGGTTTGGTCTACATAGAGAAATTTATGCCCCATTAAAGTTTCATATATGTTTAGACAGCCTAACTTTTCTTTTAAATTTATTGTATCAGTTTTACATTTAGCCAATAGGAGAAAAATATTAATTTATCAAATACAACCATTATTGGTCAAAAACTTCTACTGTATTTGTATCAAGATGGGAAAACAGTAAGTACCTCTCAAGGACAATTTTTAATGTTTAAACTATTTGAAGAATCCAGAAAGCAAAATAGAAAATGTATTGTAAGAGAATCTGTAGGCTGAAATGTAAGATTCTGTCACAAAGGTCCAAAATAATGGGAATTCAAAGAAGATACAGGTGTGTTCTTCTTACACATAACATGAAGTATAAATAGGTTTATTTTGGCCTGGTAGCTATGATATCATAGTAGCAAAAATGTTCCATACTATGATTAGCTCTTTGTTTCTACTCTCTGTGGCATACTGTGTTTTCAAAATGGCTGTATAAATTCTGCCTGCATCTCAACAAAGGAAAAGGAAGAAGGAGGAAGGGAAAAAATAGAACCTGACATGAAGAAGTTCTTTTAAGAAGTTTTAATAAACACACCATCAAAAACCTTTTTTTTTTTTGGTGCTGGGGATCAAACCCAGGGCCTTGTGCATATAAGGCAAGCACTCTACCACTGAGCCACAACCCCAGCCCACAAAACTTTTATTGACCCTCCCCAAATACAAAATAATTACAAAGTATATTTCTTTGATCTTTGTATATTGCAACAAACAACAATAGAAAAGTCCAACTAATGAAAAGATAGGGAGAAATAAATCATGGGTGGCTAGTTAGCCATTATTGCAATTAAAATCTCTGGGATGCCAATGCATTTTGCAAAACAGTAATAGAATAATGATTCTTTGTAATAAAATATCTAGAAATGCTAATATTAGTTATAAAACAGCAGCACTAAATTTAATTTTTTATACCAAGCCTTTTTTGTTTTTATTTTTGTTTTTATTTTTAAATCAGTTTCCTCTCCTTTGGT